ACCAAGCACCGTCATAAGTCAACTTTCACGCTGAGAGTTCGAGTACCGCTGCCACCAAAATAATATGTCGCAGGATATTTAATTCGAATCCTTGGGGGATGTTTTTGTTTTCATCTCACCGCTGCCACCAAAATAATATGTCGACTAGGACTAACTTAAAATAACATAAGTGTTGTCTTATATGCAACAGGACATCTTGAATATTTTAAGGGTAGGAGCTAATTTGCGAAGTACCTCCCTCATATTTGTCGGCGGGAGTTTTTATGTCTCCCGCTACCGATAAGGCCTAAAGGGTGATACAATTGTTTGGGAAGGTTGATTGTTCGTGGCATAGTTTTTATAGTTGGCTGTCCGACTTTTACATAATCCTCCTTTTGAGACAGTGACCTAGACGGGTCGTAAAAACTAGCAGAACATGAGAAACCAGGGGGTTTCTCCAAAAAGGTTTTATTGCACTATGCAGGTGTTGCAAGTGCCGATAAGCTTGTCGTGGGAACTTTCCACAAGACTGTACTTGATAAACATGGTACTTATTGGTATGTATATATGTATCAACAATTAATAATAAAGTGGTTGGACACAACACTAATACTTCAGTTAAATCTATTCATTTCGGTACAAATGATTCATTTTTTTGAAGCTGTGAATATTTTTTGCTTAATAATGTCTTTGGTAGAATTAAAATTTTATTTTTAGAAACAAAAAATAACAAATTTGTGAAAATATACTTCTTTTTGAGAAAATACCAAAATGTTGAGTATTTAAATCATGAGTTCAGTACAAAAATATTTAAATTTCTGACACAAAGTTCTTATTATTGTTATTAATGAAATGTTTTTTTTTCTTTGCAATAAAGATTATTATTATTTAAATTATTATAATTATATTTTAATATTATAACAATAGACATATTGTATATTAATTTATTATTAGTGTCCTCTATCCGATGAAAACAAAAATTTACCTAGACCTAATTATTGAATATCAATAATTAATTGAACAGTGGTATCTTAGATCAGCTGTCCCACTTTTTTTTTGTCGACGCAACAGTCAATTGGATCCTCAATAAAATATTAGATCGGAATTAGTTAATGAATTCATCGACGTCGAATGATTGACGATGTCACGAAATTAATAAATAAACAAGACGTAAAACTTTTACCCGAATTTCAGTTTAATTTTGTACATAATAATTTAAGACGTTTGTTATTATTTAATCAGAAATTGTGTTTGCTACAAACGTGTTTTCGAAGATTAAACTGTTTCCTTTTTTATAGTAGAACTGGTAAGAGGCTATCAGCGACTGAGTCACGTTGAGTATACAAAATAACACCGTGAAGTGAATAATCGCTTGGGATTTTGTGTAAGGAAAGAAATGATTCACTAAAATACCAAAATGTGACGTTTTAAAAATAACATTCTTTGTTGTCAGTCCGTATCTGTGTTTTAAAAAGCTTTAGAAATATTTTATTAAAAAAATATTATAATAAAATAATATTTTTTAATGAATTATAGTATTTTTTGAATAAATTACGTATATTTTCAATAATTTACTATTTTTATCCTACAAAATAAAAATTTACACTTGTATGATTTTTATTATATAATATATTTCATTTTTTTTAATATCAAATATATATTAAGATTTAAATACAAAATAGGAACATTTTGGTTGTTTAGTTAATTAAGATTAATTGAGAATCTCTATCATGTTGAGATTAATATATTCGAAATTCTTATATAATGTATTACAAATTACTAGGTAATGTTTGATGAATTCCCTTTCAGTCTGGTAACATTGAATTTTGTTTACTCTGTTTGTTATTTTAGTTATAAAAATGTAATAAAAAAATTACCTGATATTTGACCTTAGCATAAGTACCTATGAACACACATAATTATTTACAAATAGATGTCTAATGGAGTCCGAGAAGCCTTATGAGTGAAATGTGATTATCCTATTTACGTATATCAAGAAAACCGATTAAATAAAAGAAATTGGAAATTAATAATGCATTTTGAATTTCTGATTACAAGTAATATGAACTACACTGTTATAATCTATTGAAAGCGAATGACGCGAAGCGTCTCGTTTAATTGGAATTCCGAGTTAATCAATATCAACTGCAGGATAAAATAATTGTGGTTATACACAAAATAATAAGATAAAATCAAACGAAATGACATGGAAATATAAAAATTTTCCGCCAATCAATGTAATGACAGTAGCTTCATGTTTTAAAATAATTACAATTGACAATAATTGGTGTACGCGCGTTAAATAATGGATTGCGGCATTCCTCGTCGCGTTTTAATCGCCATACCAAATCTTTTTAATAAAATTGAGCGCATTTCATTTGATATATCAATTATTTATTGAATTCCATCCGGTCGACGTGGCAAATTGCCAACGATTTTGTTCATTGCTTATTGAAAAATGTATTCATCCTGCACGACTTTCGTAAACTATTACCAATCCGCCAGATATTTATGGAAGTCGTATTTATTTAGTTAAGCAGCGAAATAACTACCATAAATGGAATTGAGCTAAAGCGACCTCAATTGCAGACCTCGTCTTGCTTGTTCTTATTTCACTTTCTTTTAACAAATGTTAATATTTTCAATTGGTTTCTGTATTGTTAAAGAGGATTTTCTGAAGAAACTTGGTCGATCGGATGTGGGAAAGCTAAAAAAATCGTTTTCACTATAAGAAAATCTCAGTTTGTAGTTCGAATTTGCCGCTTCCCGATTATAGAAATAACCGGTGCGCGTTTCTGATTGGTCGAAGAAATTTAGGTGTGGTGGTAGGATTGTGAATCATATTGACATATCGTTTGCAACTGTCAGCAGCAGCAGAGAAACTTCTTTGTGTTTCAGTTAACTTTCGTGCTTAAACTCGAAGAAACCGTTTAGTATCCTTTGAAGTAAGTAAGAAATGTTTAATAAGATTCTTATTGGGATTGAATGTTCTTGTTAATAGCGTTTAATTGGATGTACTGCGTTTGCGTCAGGAGCAACGCCTTAGTTTTAGTAAACATTGTGATTAGTTAAGCTAAAATTAATATATTATTTTTTGTTTGGTTTGCAGAATGTCTTCTCGCAAAACTGTTGGACGTCGTGGAACCACGAAGAAGCGTGCCCAGAGGGCAACCTCTAATGTGTTTGCTATGTTTGATCAGGCTCAGATCGCTGAATTTAAAGAGGCTTTCAATATGATTGATCAAAACCATGACGGTTTCGTGGATAAGGAAGATTTGCATGACATGTTGGCCTCCCTGGGCAAGAATCCTACTGATGATTACTTAGATGGCATGATGAATGAAGCCCCAGGCCCAATCAATTTTACAATGTTCTTGACTTTGTTTGGAGAGCGGTTGCAGGGCACTGACCCAGAGGATGTGATTAAGAATGCATTTGGGTGTTTTGATGAGGAAAACCAGGGGGTTATGAATGAAGAGCGCCTTAGAGAATTGCTGACCTCTATGGGTGATCGATTCACTGATGATGAGGTTGATGAGATGTACAGGGAAGCTCCAATCAAGGGAGGTCTGTTTGACTATGTGGAATTCACTCGCATTTTGAAGCATGGAGCTAAGGATAAAGATGAGCAATAAGTTATTAATATTACCATGGGTTTACTACTATTTAGGTTTAACTATTTTAAAGGAGAGCAAAAAAAAATGAACTTCATATATTCAGATTTAATGTATATAAGAATTTAAAGCATTTTTTTTTTATATTTAATCAAGCATTTTTAATCGTTAATAAATTTTGTACTTAAATTTTGTGGTTTATTTTTGTTGGGAGGGTCAGTGGCACCTGGTGGGAGGCGGCGTAGTTGTTTGTGGGATGGCAGCGCCTTAGGTTGCGAGTGTCGCCGTCGATTATTTGAAAAAACATGTGTATCTGTCAAGAAGCACGTGGGTTGAAAAATAAACAAATCCTCGGTGGGTCCGGACGACGTGGTTGATGGTTATGTTGAATGAAAATGGTTGGGATTTAGGTGGATGGACGGGCGTCGTTTCAAATGGGACATGGTGGTGGCGGGCGCCGCGACGACAGCGCCGTTATTTACGTCGTTGTCCGCGCCACGACGCGTCCGTCCACCTGTTGTTGCCGATGCATTCCTATACATGTCTGCAAATCTGCTCCAAGTTTTACCCTTTGCACTACCCAAGTTTTATATAAACCCGTTCAGTTTTTTTCTCTTTAGATAACCGCCCTTTTGTGCGTGCCCTTTAATCGCTTTCGTTATTTTTCATTTGCCGAGGTGAGCTGTTTTTGTTTTTGCTTTTTGTTTCCCATCCACATTCCGCCTGACATAGTTTGTTATGACTAAGGTCACAGGACGCCAGGCGTCTTTTCTGATTTCGACCGATAACAGCGAGCAACGAGCCGTCCAAAGGCCGTACATCGCATCCAAACAACTTTTCCAACCAAACACTCGCGGAAAACTGACGATTTTCCCGAGATTTCCGTTCCGCACATATAACGACATATAAAAAAAACGACGTCGGTTGGAGGTTATGTTTACATCCACCCACAACCCTCTTGGATTTCCCATTAGCCAGCCTCCTTATTCCACTGAGCATAAATTAAACACGACCCGATTGGGACCGCTGCATCCCTTTATTAATACAGTTTTTTATTTCGTTTTTCAGATTTTCTTGAGTTTAAGTTCTTTTAGTTTTTTTTTGTTTGGTGCATGCAGACTTTGTTTTCAAACCGCAACCTTTCAGTAAGTTTATTTTTTTAATTATTATTTATTCCGATTTATTATTTTGTTTGAATTTTACATTTTTTTGTCGCAACTCACTTAACGTCGTGCACTCTACGTGCATCTTACTATAAGTATTTCGTTATCCAAGTTTTTGTTTTTATTTTCGCTCCGGTAATTAGTTGGCGTCGTCGCCGCGAACTCTTCTTTAGAATTACAGGTTTCGCCATTTACCATCGGACAAGTGGCGACATCTGGACACGGATTATTAAACATTACAAATATATACAGGGTGTATATATTTGTAATTATATATTGTTTATATACAATTATCAAAGTATATAGCCATTTCATTTATGCCATATTAATGCCAGTTATCTTTAGTTACTCATAAACTAATTGGCAAGTACTTATACCGATTAAAACCAACTACTCATTGTATCTTACAAGTAACTTATACTATGAAATCAACCTCAAGTATTTATAACAAATTTGACTTAATTAAAGACTGCGTAATAGGTAAGTAGTGTGTTTACTTTGTACTTGTCAAGTGATCAGTCAAGTACTCATAGCGAATGACAGATCTCTTACCATAATTTATGCAAAATTTTGTGATGAGGCATTAACTGATTGTTTTACCAATACTTATATAATACTAAAGATTTACATACATTTCGCATGATGTTATTAAGAAAGGTATGATATTAATCCACTAAAAATTGTATTTATCCTACATTTGACTAAAACTAAAAATATGTACTTTAAATTAATTAATATGATGAATTTTAGTAAAGCTATGTATTTAAGAGGAAATAATGCGTATTAATTATTTAAATACATCCCAGTCTGCTTAATATCATACTTTACTCATAGTTTAATGTTATTTTTTATTAGATCTGATAATATCAAAATTTAGATTTTGAAAACTAACACCACAAATTCTATAGAAAATATGACTTACTAATTACATTTCTATGTGAATTACATAGTAAATATTAAAAAATAACGTTATTGATTGTAATTTTGTTATCTATATATAGGAATAATAATTAAAATACATTTATATTAAAATTATTAACATTTTTATTTACCTCGTACATTTTTCTTTCACCTTAAATTAAGAACTTTATTGGTGAGAAGTTCTAAATTTAGTTTTTGAACTGAAACACTAATGTATTTGATGTTTTTATTATACTTTCTTTGTATATGACGGCATTTTAGTTTTAATTTTGAAAAGATGATCATGATTTCTTAATTTTATATGCAGTGAATATCAAATATTAAAGCTGATTTGGATGTTATTGTCAAATCGGTAGCCAATTATACAATGATTGGTTGGATTAAATACAATTTATTAAAAAATATGGAAAATATTGTGTAACATTATTACTATTATGTAAATTAAATTGATGCATTATTAATGCTCTATATAAATTGACGTCAAAATGAACTAGTTAACTTAATTAACCATTAATATGACATTTACAAATTTGGATCATTAAATTTCAATAAAAACTAGACAAATACTCGATGCATATTGATTGAATTCTATTTCACATTGATCATTAAATACAGGTACAAAAACTATACAAAAGATTTTTATATCATTTTAGAATAAAGAGGAATAATTCTAGCGCGATTAGAAATATGTATGTAACATTTCTTTATGATATTTTATATCAGTGGTTATCAAACATGTGGCTTTTTTGACTTCGAATGTGGTTTGGTAGAAAAATAAAAGTAAAGTTATTTTAGACATTATTAAAGGAGACATGTTAATAATAATATTTTGGGTCTCTCAAATACTTTTTAAATTGTTGTGAGGAATAGTTTCTATGCTGCACTATATCTTAAATATGGCTTTTTGCTCTAAGAAGGTTGGCAACCTCTGGTCTATACTACAGTTCTAGAGACGAGATTTTTATTTAAAGTTTAAAATAATAATATTTATTGCAACTATAAATCACCAAAATATAAACTTAATACAATAATAGAAAATCAAAGGGCTGGTCAATATTTTACCAATAAATATGTTAAAAAAAATGGATAAAGTTATTATCATGTATACTTCTTAGATTTATCACTAAAAAAGTTATTTATCTTCCACAAATATTTTGTAGTAATCTCTTTAATTCATTTTGTAACTGCGTTAGTAGTACACGAGTTTAATCCGTTCAAAAATTTCCGGATTTTTACTCGTATTGTGAAATACGTGTGTGTACACAAGTTTTAAAAATGATGTCGCAGGCGCGCAATCCGGGACTTCTCTTCTCATTATCACCGATATGCGCTCGTTAACAGAGTCATTTTTTTTACAATTCATTTTGCTCGTTATGCAAGGTGTGCGTTAAGCGAGGTTCCACTGTATTTTGATAATTGGTGAAAGGAACGTTTTTTATTAATATAAAAAGTTTAAAATAATTTAGTAGTGGCTAAAATAGGGTATTACTACATGGGTATTAATAATATGAATGTTGATAGCAAATTTAAAGTTGTTGAGGTCAAGCAACTTGCAAGTAAGAACGAGATAAATCGATGTTAGATATGAACTTAGACATTACGTTTCTACCTGCAATGGCATGAAAAATACTATTTTATTTTAATGTAATTACATATCGCGCGTTCCATGTTTCCCCTATGAAACAGTGATTACGAACACCACCGTATACTTTGTCTTTATTTTCTCTTTGGATTAAAAAAAAAATAAAATCGCGCACACACATATACAAAACAGAACAGAAAAGAAAAATAGTGAAGCGAAACACACATGAAAATTGCAGTAAATGCGAATCCGCGAGTGTATGAAATATGTAAAAGCGTGCGTTGAGAAGAAGAGAAGTAAAAAAATATGCCACTTCATGTTTCTTGGCAAATAATATGCAAATTACAGTGCGGCCCATTGTTATATACTCCGGCGATTTCTCTTTGTTTTAAATTGAAACCCACATAAGAAAACGTTTGTTTAACAGAAGCCAAGCCGATAAAAATCTCTTCTCGCTCTTTTCCATTTCACCACGAAAACACAATAATGATGATAGTAGCACCCGGCAACAATAACGGAACACAACATCCAAATCCGATATTCGATTTACTTTCACGTCGGTTCATTTTGTTCTTCATTACTGTATATGTGTGTTAGGTCGGCTAAAATTATATGTTAAATACGGTATTTTGCGTTTAAAACATGCTATTAAATGATTACAACAGAAGCAATTATTGGATAGAGCACAATTTTAATCATATATTTTAGCGCAGAACTTAATTTTCGTAACGCGAATAGGTGTTACTCCTAAGAAAATATTTAATATTAGCTTTTATTTTTCGCTTTCCATGGATTCTTGGAATCTTTTCAGTTCCTCCTCCTTGTGAATGCAAGAATCTAAATTTTCCCAGGATTTAGTTATATAATCCATACACATAAACGTATGATTTTATCAAATTGGTTCCAAAAAGAAAATACTTGTACAAGTATTGTCAGCAAAGTTTATAAAATTTTGAATTATGTTATTTTTAAGTTGAGTTCTGAGATTGTTTTGTTTTTGTCGGTTTTATCTGATCATTGTCCCGGTTTAATGACCAAGAAATCTGGTAACTCCGGCCAGGTCTTTAATATCTATGACTACCATAGTATGTGTCACATATTTGTGTTAAGTTACTGAAGTTACTATTACATAATATTATTGGGTTGGTGCATAATTATCAAGAGTTTTTGCAGACGGATTTTTTGTTAATAAAAATTGCTGTTTTGTTTACTTTTTTTCAATAAAAATATTATTTGCAAATGGAATGCCAAATGGGGAGTAGAATTTTTATGATTCTTTTTTCATAATAAATATTGTTTAAGAAACGTCTCATAATTATGCACCAACTCAATATTATTGTGTCTATAATAAAGATATTCATATATTTTCAAGTTATTAATGAATTTACTAAAGTTTAACGGATTGCGGATGTGTTTTCATTGCGGTTTGAAACCCATCGTA